ATTTAAATTATATTCTATCATCTTAAATACCAACATTATAATCACTTACAACATGACATGAACATTCAATATTTCATTTGTTCAATGATAATAACTAAAACAGATATCAACAACAAATTTATAAAACAAAACACATCAAATGAGTAAAATAAAAATAGAAAAAAAAAAGATTTCGAAATTTAGGAGAATACTTTACTAGATTATGAAATTCAAGGGAAAACAAAACCAAATTTCAAAATTTAAGAGGCATCTAAACCCAATTTTGAAATTTGGTATACCTAGATTTCAAAATCCAGTGCACTCCTAAATTGGATTTCAAAATCCAGATTTGTATTCAAAATTTGAAAGACTCTTAAACTAAATTTTGAAAACTGATAACTCTTAAACTAAATTTCAAAATATGGTACAATTTTCAAAACCTGATACATTGCTAATTTAGATTTTAAAATCTAATAGGTTTAAAATCCGATACACTCCTAAATTAGATTTCCAAATCTAAAACACGTATTCATTGAATTTTGAAATCTGCTATTCATTCTATATCGGATTCTCTATGAAGAAGTAAATGCTAAGATGAAATAAAATATATGTGGAAGATGAAAAAGAAGTCGTTGAAGAAGAATATTTTAAAAATATAAATCGAAGTTTAATGTCTTGTGAAAATGACTTTCGAATACTGGGAAAATTAAATATAACAACATCAACAATAAATATGGATGGATAAACAATTATATATATAAAAGGAAAACATCAAGCAACAAAGCCCCTTTAAAGAAATGTTGAAGGAGAGTAAAGAGAAAAGAAAGAAAGAAAAAAGAAAATGGTCAAATCTGATTTAGAAAAGAAAAAGAAAATACGTGTAAAAGAAAGGAGACACGTAATGCAAAAAGCAGAAGAGAAAAAAGAGACACGTAATATAAAAAGTAAGAGAAAAAATGTGATGATCCATCCTTACGTAAAGTTGTATGTCAGAAGTGCGTACGGAATGTTTTGACGAAGCCAAAGCACGGGACCACAAGGTATGGCAGAACAAAATTGTATCTCTCTTCCTTTTTTCTATTTCAAGTAATATTTAATTTCTAAAGATGGTTTTGAAACATTTAGTTTGTGATGTAAATCGAGAATCACAGTTTCACAGTGTAACCTTATCTTCTGTTCTGTTTTATGCATAATCCAAATCCGAGTACAAGAAATTTATTAAAGACATTTTTTATGTTTAAATTAATATTTGATTAATGATTGATTATTATAATTAAATTTTAAATGTTCAATAAATATAATCACTTATTTTTTTTTATTTTATTTGTGTATTTATAGGTTTTTAAGTGAATCTTTTATTAGGATTAACCTAATGTGTTCCAATATATTTTAAATACGTTTTAACTTTGTTAATCAAACTTTTAATTTGTCTGATCGAACGGTCAACCTAATTGCAGTTTGTTCTTAAAGTTGACTTATTGTGGTTGATTGAGCAGTGGATGTAGACCGGTCGGTCCATACGGTACATCTTCCATTAAGGACATTATATATTTTCATTCATTGTAGTAACAAATCTTTTTAGTTATGTTTGTTTCTTCGACCAATCTAATCATTCAAAGTTCGACGTCTCTCTATGTAAACACACACATCGCTTAATACACACACCAAACTTATCCACCAACTAGCTTCTTATTAATGGTGTGGATGGTGAAAGCATTGTAATATAATTCAAACATCTTTCCCACGATACTCTCCTATGCAGTACATGGTAGTGAATGGTTCTGTCAAGTAGGAAATCTGGCCACTGCAAATGGGCTGCAAAAACACTCTCAAAAGGAAAGAAACGCATGCCTGCAAACTGGGTCATCACATGGACATCCACAATCCACTGTATTCGTCAAAGCGTACATAGCTTATTTCTTGTCAACCAACAGTGATTGAGATGATACTTTTGTTTATTTTATTATGCTTGGAATCGGTTAATTATAAATGAGAATCGAATAACGAAATAACCACGTTAATATATTTGGAAAGATGTATGGAAGAACAATGTTCGAACTTCTAGGGGGCATATAAGTCTTTGTCCCCTGAATCAGAGCAAATCGTCGCACTTTTGGCGAGATGAAATGCACAGTGTTTTTTCGAAAATCCTTCCTTTTTCGTCGTCGCAAATCAGCACAAATCATGCCATGAGAACACCCCTACTTTTACGAATCCATTCTTGCCAATCTACGTAAACAGTTAATTCCCTTCAAAGGAACACACCCTTAGTTTATGATGTAAATCGAGAATCACAGTTTCACAGTGTAACCTTATCTTCTGTTCTATTTTATGCATAGTACAAATCCGATTACAAGTTTATTAAAGGCATTTTGATGTTTAAATTAATTTTTGATTAATGATTGATTATTATAGTTAAGTCTTAAATATTCAATAAATATAATTACTTATTTTTTTATTTTATTTATGTATTTATAGGTTTTTAAGTGAATTTTTTATTAGGGTTAAAATCCAATTGTGTTCCAATATATTCTAAATATGTTTTAATCTTGCTAATCAAACTTTTAATTTGTCTGACCGAACGGTCAATCCAATTGCAGTTTGTTCCTAAAGTCAATTTATTGTGGTTGACCGAGCAATGGATATAGACCGGTCGGCCCATACGGTACATCTTCCATTGAGGACATTATATATTTTCATTCATTGTAGTAACAAATCTTCTTAGTTATGTTTGTTTCTTCGACCATTCTAATCATGTATACTTTCCCATTTGTTTTTACCTTATGTATCGTATGACTACCCGGTCAGTCACACACCGGACAATTAACATGATGCTTGAATAAATCATTATTAGTACTAAATAGACTACCACCAAGAGTAGGCAATCATAGAATTTAATTGATTGTCATCTGTCAGAATAATTAGCTCTAATGCTAAAGGTAAAAGGTGACTATCACCAATTGAACTATAATTTGGCCTGACAATTTTTCTGGATAGGTTGAACTATTGGAAGCAAAGGGAGACCAAGTAAGATGAAAGAAACTAGCAGGCAGATCACTAAATAAATACAAATAGGTGCAAATTCTAACATAACCACAATCCACTTGGTTCTTTCACTCCTTGTTGGCGGAGACATACCGGAAAAAAGGGTAAAAGCCCTTTATTGGTATTGAATTCGAACCGATGTTTCCTGTTTATTAAGGATTTGAATCGATGATAATCAAAGACGCACTCTACAATCTATAAATATAGGTTTGAGATAAGGAGATAAATGATTGTTGTTTCGGTTGAATTGGTTCGAGGGTCGGTTGTCTTTCTTTGCTCTGCTCTCTTTTCATCTTCAATTCTCCCCGAGAACGCGATCCACTCCAATGGGTTGTTGACCTGTAGAAGACACTCTGACGCTCAAGTCAGATATGTTTGATAAAGAGGTCTATTATGTTTTATTAGGATAGAAAATGATGATTCTACCTGGACATCAGTTGTCTACTTATAAGGCTTGTGACAACCACGTCCATTGATTAACCATTAGTGCAATATATTTTAGGTAATCAAACCCAATAATTAATCATTAATGCCATATATTTGTAGAGCGTAAGACAATCTGACCTATTAGTACCTATGACAATCAATTTCGATCGGTATACTTCATATACTACAACTGCATTTTTTACATCATTAATATCTAAACTGTCAAACTAAACTGATTTTAACATTAGAGTATCTTCTGCAAGTGACCCGCTTGAACAAATGACTACAAGAGACTTACAACATAAGATAACTTTAGTACTCCTTGAATTACTTTCTGGATGTTAGATGTTGACCTTGATCCTATACCCCAAATATCTTATTATGATGAAAATTTCTCATAGGATAATTCATTTTAAAAAGAATTTGAAATGTGTTATGACAAAATATATTTTTTGGATGGAGAATTTTAAAAGAAATTGAAATTCTAGGAATTTATAAGAGAAAATTAGAAATTCTTCCCACTTTTTCCTTTTTTTCACCTAATGTTTAACAAATGTTTCTTTTAGTTTAAAGTCAACCGTGATTATTTTTCGACTGTCATTGTTAAAGTATATTTTTGTTGATATATGCTATAGTGTTGTTTCTAGTTTTTTTTTTACTAATATCGAATATGATTTCTTCTATGTCATGTTGTTTCTGAACAATGTTGTTACAATATAATTGACAAACTTATTTTTCAATGAAACTATATTTATTAAGGTAAGTAAAAAAATAGTTAACATTGATATCAATTAATTCTAGATGATATTCTTGATACTATTTCTTGGTTAATTCCAAGATTGAAATAGTAACTGTATATGTGTTGCCATAATTAAAATGTTTTATAAAAAAGGAAATTTTAAAAATTAAACCATTTTAATAAGAAATACTTCAAATTCACATATTCAAAATTTTTAAAATAGTAATTCACACATTCCCACTGTCTAAGTGAGTCATATAAATTTTGACAGAAATGACACAGTCTAAATTGCTGTTGTGATCCACCACTAAAACTATATGTGTTTCACGTTCTAGTTTTCCTATATTTTCAATCATGTTCAAACATCACACCCATAGACAATTTATTCATCACCAACTTGTATAGAGCCTAAAAGTCAGAGCTTCAACCATAAATATCGTGATCAGCATAAAGGACAGGACAGAAAATTCCCAGTTACTCGCACATCAGTTCAGGACTTGTCAACCAGCCCAATCCTAGTTCATCGGAGTAGAAATTTTCCTCAAAAGTCAAAGAGTGACGCGTAACACGACAATATCACACTTATGACCACACTTACATGTGTTTTATCTGAATCATGAAATATCATTCAGGAATATGCATAGGTTATTCTATTGTTACTAATCTATAACCATGAAAACCGGTAACGAGCCATGATACATGGAAGGTAAAAATATGTATAAATTTATTTATAAAACGAATTAGGTGACATGGTATTGGTCAAAAGAAAAAATGAATTAACTAACTGGAATAAAATACACACGTTGTTATGTCGTATATGCTGTATATCTTCTCCCTTTTAACGTTTCTTTTCAGCTGTCTCTTTTTTCTTTTCCTTTTCCGTCCAAGCTTGCGTAAGTACAACCGACCAAACCCAAACAACAACCTCAAGAACTGTTTTTTTTTTTGGGTCAAAAACCAAAGACCATGAACCAAAAGAGGGAAACGAAAATGGTGAAAGAGACCAACATGGCAACCGTGTCCATTACACTGTCTCTCCGTAGTTTTCTCTCTCTGATCTCTCTCTTCAAGCGGCAAAATTTATCGAACCTTGCTTTGGCTTCTTCGGGATCGGGTTTTCGTCGCTCGCCGTTCTCCATGGCGTCTTGCAAAATCACGAAGCTGTCCCTGCCGGTCACGTGTCTCCCTTCCGTGTCCTCCATCGTCAGACTCGCCTCCCTCACGTGCATAGCGCCTCCGGCCTTCCCGCAGCACGTGACCCTGATAACCCACTGGACCGTCTCCATGGTCACCGCGAAAATAACCTCCAGATCCCCCGTCAGCCAGTGCCGCCGCGCCGCCACCGGCCGCCGGCTCGAGAGGTTCACCGCACGCTTCCGCGTCGGGTCGATGACGATCCAGCTCAGCCCCAGATTCTCCTCCAGGTGTGCCAGCCACGAAGATTCCTCATCGCACTTCGCGAATATCAAGGGAGTGGGGACCACCTCGTTGGGGTCGAGGAGTTCCACCCAGAGCGGGGAGGAGAGGAACCAACCCTTGTGGGTTTCGGTCGTGATGACACGCGAAAAGACGGGTCTGCCCTTGTAGTAGAGGTCCACGGCGGATACAAACTCCGGCGGCAACTGCGGTGGGTTGGGGTGGGGAGGAGGGGAGTATTGGATGGAGGGAAAAGAGTCGGAAAAGACAGAGCGGTGGGCAGCGGGGAAGGTATCGATGAGGGAAGAGGCGTGGGGTTGGTTGAGAGAGGGCCAGGAGGCGGCGCAGATGGTCCGCCAGAGGTTGTGATCGGTGCAGAGACGGCGGAGGTGGAGGGTGGCGGAGGATGCGGAGGCGAGGGTGGGGCCGTCGAGGCGATTAAGGATGTGGGATCGAATGATGTCGGGGTGGAGAGTGGTGATGTCAGAAGAAGAAAAAGAAGTGGCGTCCATGGATGGCTAAGAATAGTGAGAAAATAGAAATATGCTTACGTGGTTGGGGTTGCAGTGAGAAGGATAAGGATTATAGATACGATGGTTTTGTTATATAGGTTGATGATTGATGGTTGAATAAAGCGTGTTTGCAATGTTTGCATGTGAAGGATTAGGATTGGGATAGGTGATATATAGACTTGTTTTCAACACTCTTTTTTAGAAAAAGAACAAGTTGAGATGAGAGTAGGGTCAAGTCATATTTCGCTTCTAGATTTCTTATTTTTTAACTCTCTAATAACATCATTTTATTAACCAATTCCATTCCACTTATTCGTATAAACAATTACTTTATGCTTCGTGCAGAGTAATTATGTTTGACTTAACTGAATTATCGTACCCAAAATTTAAATATGAGATCACTGGATGATTAAATTTATAAAATTATTTCCTTTATTAACTATATTTTATTCAAACTCGGAAATGTTTGACTTAATTTTACGCCTCCCGTTCACGTCAGTGAGCATAATCTGTAACGAATAACTTTTTAGCAGATTAGGTTCACAATGAGATGGAACAAAAATATCTTCTTGATGATACAAATGTTTGTTTGTTCCTGCAACACATGCATCATGGTCCATCCAACAACCTGCTCCATCATTTCCTGATTAAATAAATAATAATAATAAAAAAAAAACAAACCTTATCCAATCTAACCTTCGGTCATCCAATTTTTTCCATTTTTCTTAATTCGATATTTATTTTCATTAATAAATTGTTCCTATCACTATATTTGTTAGTATTTCGTTTGCGCTAACATATTTGAAAAATATATATATTTAGTTTATATTCATTAGAAACAACGACAGTGGTGTTATTTGTCAATTTTTTAACTAGAAAAGTAAATATCTTAACAAATTTATCATTACTATTTTGTAGCGATTGTGAAGTTATTGGGGTAACTGAATTACTAATTGCCAACATAATATTACTGACAGTAAAATTGGTCGATATTAGCAACTGATTTGATTTCAGCGATACGAAAATAGTAACTGATTTAAAGTGCGGTAACATTTTGGCTGTTAAATAAATGAATCAACAACTGAATTCGTGTCGTGTATATTTGTGTAATCTGTGTTAGTCAATTTTGTGACCACTAATATTCATTGAGTTACTTGAAGACTCACTCGGTGTATAGTGCTACAATTAACAAACTTAATCCCTATTAATTATGCTATAAGATAGATGTTTTAAATCTTCTTAATTATCATACAAATTCCTCTACTTTTAAATTTACACCTTTAACGACGGGATATTTTTATTATGGCTTTAAATTATAATTATGTTGCTTTAGATATAAGTAACTTATATTTAATCTATTTAATTAATGAAACCGTATTTGTCCTATTATTATAATATATATATATATATATATATAAATTAATGAAAATTAATTATTAATTTATTCTCAAATTAAAAAAAGATAAAATTGAATCATTTTAAAAGATAATAAGACTAAATTGAAAATAATTATTATCATATGTGGATAACACTCTCAAGTGACATAATAATAACTTAACACGTGTAAGTTTTTAATAAATTTTAAAAAATAACTCGTAGTAATATTTATGTACACGCGTTAACATTAATCTAACCAAAATTAACAGAGTGAATATTTTTAAAAGAGATTAGAATATTAAAAAGACGTATGTATTCAATTTAATTATATATAATTTTTTTTGAAATAATACATAAAAATTTGTAAATTATCTACTATTGGAAAATACATTGAACGAGAAAAAATGTTGATACTGAAACAATAAATTATTTAGTGCTCTTTTTGTAAATATAGTTACTAAATCTCAAAGAAATTTGTGTTATGATGTTTATATATATATATATATATATTATTATAATAATAGGACAAATACGGTTTCATTAATTAAATAGATTAAATATAAGTTACTTATATCTAAAGCAACATAATTATAATTTAAAGCCATAATAAAAATATCCCGTCGTTAAAGGTGTAAATTTAAAAGTAGAGGAATTTGTATGATAATTAAGAAGATTTAAAACATCTATCTTATAGCATAATTAATAGGGATTAAGTTTGTTAATTGTAGCACTATACACCGAGTGAGTCTTCAAGTAACTCAATGAATATTAGTGGTCACAAAATTGACTAACACAGATTACACAAATATACACGACACGAATTCAGTTGTTGATTCATTTATTTAACAGCCAAAATGTTACCGCACTTTAAATCAGTTACTATTTTCGTATCGCTGAAATCNTATATATATATATATATATATATATATATATATATATATAATAATAAATTAAAAATGGCATAATTGAATTATGATTATCTAATGACAACACTTAATTATAATCGATTTTTTTTTAAATTCTCTATATCTTGTCACTAATGTTCTTTCTTTTTTTATTATACAAAACATATTTTTCTTTTTTCTCGCACTAGTTAGATAGTTATTCGTGCATGATTGAATCACTATTATAATTGTCTCCATGTTTTATGACATTAGTATAGAAAATAGAATTTATGTATAAACAACCATGTGAAATTGTCCTTATTAAGATATAAGATGAAAACAATGAATACTATTTTGCCCCCATTGTCTCATATACCAAATATTTTATAAATATATAGTATTAAAGAATATTTTGTATGTGCTGCTAACTTAGGCAGCGTGAGTGTCGCCTAAATGAGCTTGATGTTACCGTCTAAATAGGCTAAAGGGTCGTCTAAGCAGACTTAACTTGTGTTACCATTTAGGTAACTCAGGTGCCACATTTGTAGGATTACGTTGCCATCTAGGCAACTTGGATTTCGCATTCGTGAGTTTCTGTTACTATTTAGATAACTTAATGTTTCATTTGAGGATTTTTCTTATATTATTATCTAAGTAACTTGGTGCCTTGTCTGATAACTTTGCTTATGTTACTACCTAAGCAAATCAGTGCTTCCTCAAAGAGCTTTGCTTATCTTATTGCATAAGTAAATTATGTTATCGTCTAAGTAACTTGGGTGCCAGCTCATGGGCTTTGTGTCACCGTAGGTAACTCGGATATCATCTTTATGGGCTTAACTTGTTCTATCTCTTAGTGTTGCTTTGAGGGCCATATTTCCACATCATAGAGATAAGCTTTTATTTGAGCTCTTTTAACTTGTAGGCCCCATTCTAGAGAGTCCATAATGTAATATAGTTTGTTCCAGTTAGGTGCAAGCTTTCTTTGTGCTTAAAGTTTTGAGCATAGTCGGACTTTCTCCATACTAGGTCTACCTTTTGTGTCATTATTTATTGGATTCGGGAAGTATTATAATGTGGGTTGTTATATTCTTTTGTACTTAAGTATTTGAATGCAAAGTTGCTTATGTACTCAATCATGAGAACGTCGAGTTTACTCCTATATTTGAACACTGGAACATTGAGTTGTTGTTCTACATAGTCATTGTAACGTTGAGTTACTCCTAGAACACCGAGTTGTTGTTGTACTTTGGCATTGTAACGTTGAGTTGTTCTTGTACTCAGTGAATTCTTCCTTTACTAGGTTTTGGAAAGTTGAGTTGCTCTTGCTCTTGTACTTATAATACCAAATTGCTCATGCACTTGGTCACTTGAATGCTAAGCTGCTATTTGTACTTGGGCAATGGAATGTCAAATTGGTCTTGTACTCGGGCACTAAAACTTAGAGTTGCTCTTGTACTCGAGCACTAGAACGTCTAATTGTTATTATACTCAAGAAACTATAACATTAAGTATAATACTACTATTTTTTTTTCTTTTATATAACGAGGGTCAAGCTGATTGGTAAGTGCGATACAACTTTATAATGCCAAAGGTTGGTTTGACCGAAGACGACTGAGAATAGGGAGTGTGACGACTTTCCTTTTTAGTTGTTGAAACATAATATCATACTTTTCACTCCAAAGGTAGGTCTAAGCTCCTTTTAGAAGCATGAAGAACAACTTTTCCTTTTGTGTTAAGCATGACAAAAAATGTGAGAGTGAGACTATAATATGTAGTTCAAACTCTGGACTTCCTTAAGATTAGTAAAATTTCTCATGTAGAGTTTGACCTCATATTTGTTTGGGTTAGTCTCTATTTCTTGTCAGGTTATCATGAAATTTAGGAATTTGTTACACCTACACCAAAAAAACATTTTTCTGAATTTAAACTCATATCATGTTAGTGTACCTTATTGAAAACAACTCTTAGGTGTGCACAATGATTAGTCCTATAATGAACACCAAATATTTTTATCGAGATCTAGTATGTAGACCTTCGAACAAGTGACACAATATGTATGAATTAAAAAATCTTGATATATACTTTCGAGGATTGAAACACATTTTTGTAAAAGAATTTTTTATACTCAAATCAATAAAAAGTTTAAATCTTTTTTAATAAAAGTAAAATATGTATTTATTAGATTTCTACATAGTGTTTGTTGTAAAATGAGTAATAATTAACAAATATAACAATTTATCATATATATATATATATATATATAAATTAATGAAATAATAATAATAATTTATAAATATATTTAATAAATAATATGATAGTTTATCAAAATTTAATGCCATATATTAATATATAAATATTTATAGCAACAAATATTTAAAAATATTTTTCAACAGATTAGTTAAACTGCTTTAATTTTTAAAACTAAAAAGTAAGAAACAGAGGGCCAAAATAGATAGATATGATATTTTTAAAATGGATTTAGTACTGTACTGTATACCTGGACCACCGATTTGGACGTAATGGAAAAACTGAAAGCAATATGCTTTTATAGGATATTTTAATAGTGAAAAGAAATACATCACATGTCAAACGTCGTACACGCTCTGTCACTAAAATGTTAAAAAAAAGCACACAAATAAAATTATATGGTACCTCAAAAAATTAAAAACTTCCACTCAAAAAGTTAATATATTGAATTTAATATCAGTAGTTTCATCTTAGATTCTACTTAATCATGGTCACACAAAATTATAAAAGCAGTTTCATTTTAAAAAAAATTAAGTGTTGCGACAAAAGTATTTCTCTATACTCTTTGGTTATTCTCTTCTCGGTCTTTTCAAAGGGTATGATGCACAAATTAGTTTTGATCTTAATCAATATTATATTAAATGTTTCTAAAAAAGATTTCAA